GCACGGCAGCCGCGCAGGAGCCGTAATCTGCAAAGACAACAAAATTCATGACAAAGCACAAAGGGAAGCGCCGGGCTTCGCCGTCCCCAGATATTCATCCGTTAACACGTTCCCTTTTTAGGCTGACATGTCATTTCAGACGGGCCTTTTTTTTTTTTCCCCCTTCTTCTTTTTTCCTCCCCTTTCTTCTCCCCCTCGCGCGGCTCTGCCGAGGCGGCTGCTGAATTGGATCACCTCAGGGCGAGCACTTTATTATCTGCAGTCAAAGCGTCACCGCAAATACCCGTCTACACACACACGTGTCACTTCCCATTTGTCTCCTCCACGAGGTATTAGCACCGCCGCGCACCGGGCCACCGCGGCCACCGGCGCTGCAAAGGCAAACGGTGCTGGGCGGGCGGCACAGCCATGGGGATGCCTTGGTGTCACCCCAATGCCATCCTGATACCACCCCAATGTCACCCCAATACTATCCCAGTGCCACCCCACTGCTGTCTCAATGCCATCCTGATGCTAGCCCAGTGCGACCCCAATAGCCCTGGTATCACCCCAATACAACCCCGTGGCACCCCAATGCTGTCCTGATACTGCCCCAGTCCATCTGAGTGCCACTCAATAGTGTCCCAATGCCATCCTGATACACACTCACTGCCAACCTGATGCTACCCAAATGCCACCCCAACCTTGCGCCACCGCCACCCTTCTGACACCCAACACAGCCCTGATGCCACCTCAACACCCCAACACAATCCCCATGCCACCCCAATGCCATCCTGATACTCCCCCAGTGCCATCCCAGTGCCACCCCAATGCTGTCCCACTGCTGTCCCAATGCTCCCCCCAATGCCAACCCAATACTGTCCCAATGACACCCAGCAGTGCCCCAACACAACCCCCATGCCATCCCAATGCCATCCTGATACTGCCCCAGTGCCATCCCACTGCCACCCCAATGCTGTCCCACTGCTGTCCCAATGCTCCCCCCAATGCCAACCTGATGCTATCCCAATGCCACCCCAATACTGTCCCAATGACACCCAACAGTGCCCCAACACAACCCCCATGCCATCCCAATGCCATCCTGATACTGCCCCAGTGCCATCCCACTGCCACCCCAATGCTGTCCCACTGCTGTCCCAATGCTCCCCCCAATGCCAACCTGATGCTATCCCAATGCCACCCCAATACTGTCCCAATGACACCCAACAGTGCCCCAACACAATCCCCATGCCATCCTGATACTGCCCAAGTGTCATCCCAGTGCCACCCCAATGCTGTCCCAATGACACCCAACAGTGCCCCAACACAATCCCCATGCCATCCTGATACTGCCCAAGTGTCATCCCAGTGCCACCCCAATGCTGTCCCAATGACACCCAACAGTGCCCCAACACAATCCCCATGCCATCCTGATACTGCCCAAGTGTCATCCCAGTGCCACCCCAATGCTGTCCCAATGACACCCAACAGTGCCCCAACACAATCCCCATGCCATCCTGATACTGCCCAAGTGTCATCCCAGTGCCACCCCAATGCTGTCCCAATGACACCCAACAGTGCCCCAACACAATCCCCATGCCATCCTGATACTGCCCAAGTGTCATCCCAGTGCCACCCCAATGCTGTCCCACTGCCACTCCAATGCTCCCCCCAGTGCCAACCTGATGCTACCCCAGTGCCACCCCAATGCTGTCCCAATGCCACTCTCCTGACCCCCTCGGCCCAGGACCCTGCTCTGTGGTGCTGGACCAGTGCAATCCTGGAAAGTTCGGACACAAACCAACACCCCTTGTGTGCTGGGGCATTACCAGCAAAGCCCCCTCCAAAACCCAAGGCTCTGATCCCACCGAGCAGCACCCCCCATCCATCTCCCACCACGCACATGACCGATCGAAAAGTGTTTTTGCAGTGTTTCCTGGCAGGGAAAGTGCAAATCAACAGCACATTTTGGGCACGGCAGTTAATTGAACTCCTTTTTATGGCACGTATATAAATACACAGCACCATCATTAAGCGACCCCTTCCAGAAACTGAAAATGAAAGAATTAATCTTATTTCACTCATGTGTAACCCCTCATGAAATTAAAATGATATTTTATGGGTGTGTACAAAAGCAGAGCCTTGCTGCAGCCGCTTTAATGAAAATGCCCTTGGAATCAGTAGAGTGGGGTAACGAGAAACCGTTAAAGGGGGGTTTATCCCATACGCAATTAAATGGTTTTATCACTGATGAGAGTTCCTATGGGCAAGTGGGGTTGACCCTGGGGCTGTGTCCCCAGTCTCCAAGTCCCGGCCATCGCCTCTCATTAATGTTTTAATGACCCCACACCACCCCCAAGAGCCATTTCTTACACCATCGCCCCCCGAGACCCCTGCAGCCCCTTGAAAGGTGATGGAGGGAGCCCCCCAAAACTCCCAGCTCCACCCCATCCCAGCATCCCTCACCCCCAGGGGTACAGAAAAGTAACATTTAATTAAATATAAGCCACTGCTACATTACTGCAGAGAGCAAGAGTTTGGCCAAGCCGAGAGTGGTATTATTTGATTTATAATTTAAATAAAGCTCAGGATTCCTGTAATGCGCACGGAATAAAATCAAAAGGGACCAGGCTGCTGGAGTTAATTGGACGTGATATTTTCCGGAGGATGCTGCTTCTCTGCAGGCTCCTGGCTCCTGGGCAGGGCTCTGGGCACCCTCCTGCACCAGCTGCCGTGCCGGTGCCCACAGCATTACTACAGCATTGAACAGGATGGATTTTGGGGGACGCAGCGAGCCTGGCAAGCAGGGCACCGAGGTGGGAGGACGGTAATTAGCAGCAGAGCCAAGGGGCAGAACCAGAGGGGCGAAGGCATTCGGAGCCGGGCACGGGCAGGAAAATTAGTCAGCTCACCTTTTACGTGAAATTAATACAAAAATTAATCAGCGGCGTGGGCAGGATAATAGGATTTCACAGTGGTGCTGGGCCAGACGGCCAATGTGCCGCAAGCCAGACTCATTTAATATCGACAGAAACAATGCCAGAGGACAGAAATAAGACCCATAAAGATAATTACTGAGATACTCAGGAGCAAATTAAGTAATCAGAGGCACTTCTAAATTGTGCCTGGTTTGAAGGGAACGCTATCCGTGGCGATTACCTATGCCGGTGTTTCGGCAGCGGCGGGAGGCTCGGCCCCGCGCCCCGGCCCCTCTGCACTGCTCTTACTGCAGGTGCCGTAAATAAAGGAGAAAAAAATCATCTTCCAAGCAGACGCGTGGCCCTGGGTGTCACCTGCAATTTAATTTGTGCTGGCGGGAGGCAGAGCAGAGCGAAGCACGCTGGATTTGCCTGTAATGAGTGGAAATGTACGGGCACCTAAACTTTGATTAAGGTGACCCTGCTGGTGGCAGCTGGTGGAGCAGGGGGGTCCGGTGCCACCACTGCACATCACCTGCGCCAGGTTTGGGGACAAGGCTCAGAGGTCCAGAATGGCGGGTCCTGCCCTGAGAGATGGGGTGTGATCAGCCAAAAACCCCCTCCCCTGTGGGGCCGGTTTGGGGTCAGACCCCTGCTTCCTGCCCTCCTCCCACCGGCACAGCTCAGGGATCCAACCCAGGGCTGGGACCCTGTTGGGATGTGAGTGGCTGCACCCAAAAGCACCCATTGGTGCCACATGGAGACATCACGCATGGGGTCCAGCTCCCCAGACCTCTTTATTTTAGCATCATCTCTGGCACGGTGGGGAGCACCACATCCCCCTCGGGAGGGTGCTCCTGGGTCGCATCCCTGGGTGCTGCTCCTCAGCATCCCCACGGACTGCGACTCCAGAAATCCCGGCCGGGCTCATCCCACCCGCAGCTCTCACACGGTGCCCACGCTGCTGAGCTAATTACCACGCGGATGAGCTAATTACCCCGCGGCAACGAGCCGGCCCCTCGCGTCAGCCCCGCGCTGCTCAGGCGTGACGGATTTGGGATAATTTTACACCAGCACCATCCTTTTCCCTTCCAGACAGCAATAAGGAGGAGATCTGAGTGGCACGGCCAGCTCTGGCACGGTGCAAGCACATAGCGGGGGGGGTCCACAGACCCCTGACACCCTGATGGGTGCTTGGGTGCAAACAGCTCGGGGGGCACCGATCCCCCCTCGTTTGCTGATGCACACACAAATGCATGGGTGCCCATCACCCTGCCTCTGGGCTGGGTGAGTCGCAGCGATGCTTTACCCCAAAAACAACCCTCCCGGCTACCAGTTTGGCTCAAGCCCCAGCAGAGAGATGCTGGGGTGGCCCAAACCCTGCATCCATCTTGCTCGGTTGCCTCGGGGTGCCCAGGTAGAGGGGAAAAAGAAGAAATCTCCAGGAAAATCCAGCTCATTAAACAAATGCCCAGGGGCTGTCACAGCCTCCCAAGCAGAGCTTTAGCAGCTGATTTGTCTTCAGCCAGCAATGTTTAAAAATCCAACTGAGACCAGCAGAAAAATATCCACTCCCCTCTTTAAAACACACATTCATCACTCGGGAATCTTAATGCGCCTTTCCCAGCCGGGGAGGTCAAACACGCCCGCCTAAAGCAGGCTCATTAAATATACATTTAATCATGGTTTGGATTGAGAGACAAAGGCTGGGAGAGACAGGTGCTTTACTGGAGTGACCTTTTGGATCCCATTTTAATGTAACTAGTTTACAGCTTATCTGAAAGGCCAGCTCCTGGGGAAGGCGAGCTGCAGAGAAACGGGGAAAGTAATTAGAGGGGGAAGGGCTGGGGAGGTTTGGGGGGCATGGCAGCATCCTCTGCCGCATCCCCTGCCGCCGCGCTTCCAGCCAGCTCCACAACATTTTCTGAAGTTCCACTTATCAACCAGAGCAACCCAATTTAATTTGCTTATCTTGTCTCCTTCCCCCCACAACTCCCTGCTTCTCCTGCTCTTTTTAATTATCGGTTAAATAAACGTCTTTTGCAATAAGAGAAGCAGCATCAAAGCGAGTGCGCGCCCTCCCCCCCTGCCCCAGGCACTTACACTTGCGCGGCTCCAGCGCCTTGGTGGGGCAGGCGAGGTGCTGGGCGGGGGGGTTCTGGGTCCTCTGCAGACAGGCCAGCATGGTCCGGGCGTCCTGGCGGGCAGCGCCCCGCGTCCTGCCAAGAGAAGGGACACCCCGGTCAGGGGAGAGGACGTCCCCACCGCGTTGCCCACCACCCTTCTGCCCACCCAGCCGCTCCCCACGCAGAGGAGCTGGAAGCAAGACCTCCTGGTGCTGACCACGGGCATGCACTGTTCCTTTGGAGAGAAATGAATAACTCAGAAAGCCTTAAATGAATACAAAAGTAGATAAAATAAGCATTAAGGTCTCAGTGGGTGATTTGCGCTTCTTGCGAAGCTTTCTGGCCTTCCCATCGGGGATGGAGCAAAGCCAGGGCATCCCTCCGGCACCGTCCTGCTGCCGCGCCAGCCGGCACCGAGGGACCCCGATGGCTCCGGCCAAGGCTGGGGAAAAGACGGCGTTAAAATCCCGCTCGGGGTCCTGGGATCTGTCGCCAGCTCCCAGCTGGCATCAAAATCTGCTCGGTGAAAGCTGGAGGGGTCAGGCCAAAGTCATCGCCGCCACCGCGCCGCTAATTGTACATCCTTCACGAGCCGCCGCCGAGGGCGTGAGTTATAACCAGTTGCTGCTGACACC